CCCGAGGATGTGTGATAGGAATTGTCCCTGAAGACATGTTATAGGAAATGTCCCTCGGGGAACATACCCTGTTTAATATGCCATTGCCATTATTTATATTATAATTTTTTGAAATATACTTCATAAACACTTTTATGACATTATACTATTCCTTTAATTTATTTCTAATAGTTAAATAAATGATATTTAATTGAAGGTATTTTTCTAAAAATACAAAAGAGATTTATTAAGAATATTTAATGTACATTTGCGTAAAATTCTAATGAAAATGATTTTAAAATTTAAATTCCATCATAAAAAGCATGTGGATTAAATTTTGATCCTCAGTTGGGTTTCATTTTCCTTTTTTTTTTTATTTGATTCTCTTACTTTCTATTATTGTTCCAGTAAAATATTTTTTTTTTTCAATCATTCTTATCAATGACATTGTTGCACTTTTTGTGTCGCGCTTTAAATTGTTTGTACCCGGTGTGTGGCTGTCTCGTATTTCCCCTGTCGTTTTCCGCAAGTCTTACCCGATCGATATTTCCCCGTTTCTCCTCCGCCACTCAAATAACACACTCCCCTCAAAACCTTTCACTTTTTGTCTCGTTTGAAAATTTTCTCAGTATCCTTTGAAAATAAGTTTTATTTTGTAACAATGTTTATTAATGTTTCATTAATGGTATCAACATGAATACATTGATATACGAAATAGCATACGTACGATATTAAAAGTAGCTTACATGTACGTATATAGGATGGAAAAGATAACAAACGAGTATCAACAAAATAATTCTAATTATAGATTCTAGTTGATGAATCAAGAGGTACGAATGAAAGGTACTCGTTCACCATCGGTATACCTTATGACGCGTATCTTTCTCATCATTACAAGACAGTATTTGCGCAAAATAAACGACCTCGAAACATTTCTATCGATAGACAAAGATAGAGGAGGAATACAGTAATGAAGGGGTGTGGTGGAGTTGAAAGAAAAGAGATATTGCATGACTTGACATTATCGTCAACGGAAAGGTCGACGTTACTATCCGAAACATTATTGAAATGAAGTTATATATCCGATATTGTTCGCCACTTTTATCTACAAATCGTATTCTTAGTATTTATGTTCAAGGGTTAACAAAAGTTTTCCTACTAATTACATTTTCCCTATGATATACTTTGCACATTTTTATTTCAATTTGTATTAGTAAAATATTCATATTTCTCGACTATACAATTTAATCAGTTAACTGTGAGTTTGACGAGTATACTCGTCGTGGAGAAATGACAATATTTTGTATTATCGTTTCATTTTTGTGACATGATATAGATAGACACTTTTCAAAGATATTAACACAGCTGGTTGGAGCAAATGATAACTACTTTTAATTAAGCATATCATAAATTAATTATTTTTGTTTTTTAAATCGTTCCATATTTTTTGATTTGAATTTAAATGTAATATTATTTTAATGAACTCAATTATTGTTAAACTAACAATAAGTACAACACTAAATAAAATTGTGTCACGATACGGTAGGAAGAAAAATCCATTCTATTATTTTAATTATATTATTTTATAGTATATAAATAAAATATATAATGAAAAACGTTTTGAGATGACAACTATTTTAATCAATCAAAAGTTATTTTCTTATTTTATTCTAAATTTAATCTATGTCAATACTTTGGTACACTACTTAGTACGTATATGTATACGTACATTAGTTAATTAACTTAGAAGAGAGATATATAAAAATAAAGTTCTCCATTCGATCCCTTTTCTATATATCCTTAATACGATTGACCGATAGAATTAGTAAATTGCTAGTAAAAATGCCAACTCAACGTTCTTTCTCTTTTCTAATTCTGGTGATATCAATTATCAAAATATTATGAAAAATGTATACATGTGTTATAGATCGTCTTGATCGATCAATGGCTCGATAAAAGACACGCGAACCAACGAACTTAAGGTGTTGAATCAAAGAAATGAATAAAAAGGAATTAAATTAAAAAATAAAAAAAAATAAAAAAGACCACGTCATGGTTATAGGATCGATTCAACATATTTTTTCGCAAACCAACAGACATCTTTTTCGAAGGGAGTGTCGACCGTTGGAGCAAAGTGAATTAGTTCGAACAAGGCCAAGCCTCTAAGCCACCTGGGAAGCCATAGACCATACGATCGAGTATCGCCAATCTTATTTTACGTGGCTAATACGTGAACACACGCACGTGAGTTGACTTTTTACCAGGACAGCATAAAAAATAAATAAAGAAGAAAGTTTAATAAGAAGAAAGAAGACAGGAACAACGAAATAAGCGAAAAAAAGAGAAGAACAGAGAAAACTTTCGATATCAGCAATCTGTAATCTCTTCAGGAGGAGAACCTTCGAAATAAATAATCCTATATAGGATTTTAGATAGAGATCGGACAACCGTGCTGACTTGACGTAAAAGGCGGGAGAAGCTTTCGAAGCTCCTTTGTCGATACCAAATCCGGAAATAGTCTTTTTGCGGTTAACCTTTAACGTAAGAGAAATACAAAATATAAGATCACTTCTCCCCTCCCTTGATTTTTTTTGTAATTAACGTTTAATTGTTCGTAAAGATGTATTTAACAATTTATTAAGAAGTTGAGTGACATGCACCTAAATAGTAGGAACCAAAACGATAAGACTGACCCTGATCGTCAACTCTTTCAATTATAATTTCTAAATACTTCTCATACTAGATTTACAAATGTACGAAGAATTATAACAATTTTTCAATATGAATTCCAATATGTCGTATAGAAAAATACGTATTGATATGGTCCATATACTTTCAGTATTATACAACAAGCGTTTCTTCAAGAGACATATATAACATGTGTCGTGGTAAAGCATGGTTCATGGTTAAATCATCTGTACACGAGATACCTACGTCTAACTCTCTTAAAATCGATCGGAAGGAAGGAAGGTCCGGCAAGGTGGAAAATCGGCGAAAATCGGTGTCCCGAATAACGAAAAGTCGTATGAGGACGATCGAAGGAAGGGTAAGCAAGAGAGAGAGAGAGAGAGAGAGAGAGAGAGAGAGAGAAAGAGTAACGGGCGACCAAGTAAGCAAGTAAGCAAGCAAGCTAGAAAGCAAGCAGGCAAGCTAGTAAAAGAGAGAAAGAGGGAGAGAATGAAGAGGGGGTGGAAAACGGTGATACGCCACAGAACGTCGACGTTCTTGTCTTGGCCGGATAGAAGGGGTGTCGGAGGGTTCGTTGGGAGTCATGGAAAGGGTGAAACGCGTGTCGCTATCTCGGTGCTGACGTGGTGCCTTGGAGAATGAAGAAGAGGAGGGGAGAACGATGACGAGATGGTAGAGAAGAGAAAAGAAGAGAGGAGAAAGCGGAGAAAGAAGAAGAAGAAGAAGAAGAGATATACGCGCGTCGAGCTCGCGCGTGTTAAAGAGACATCCGGGGACAGAGAACTATAAAGTTAGAAAGAGAAAGAGGAATTACGTATAACAAGAGGGAGAAAGAAGGAGGTGGTATAAGCGGAGGAAGAGGAGTGCGCTGGCGCGCAGCTTCTCGCGTGGTAGTCGTGTGCGCGTCACACGTCTCTGCTTGATGCGCGCCTGTGCGCACACGGGCCAAGGACTGGGACAGAAGAGGAGACAGACGGGGGGTTGGTTGGTTGTGGTGGTGGTTGCCAAAGAGAGGGTGGGAAAGAACGTTGTGCGTTCTCGCGCAGTTTGCCGTCGCTGGTCGACGACGTTCGCGCGCCCTTTTAGACTTGGTTGTCTCTCCTCTTGGTGGACGTGTTGGAAGAGATTAGTTACAATAAAAAAAAACCTATATGTATAATTAAATAGAAAAAGAGATAATAAATAATAATAATATAAAAAAGAGGAAGATCGAGATTGACGAGGAATCTATTAATAATTAATAAAAGGTTTTTCCGCGTTTTTGGTCTCGTTTAATAAGAGTGATTAAAATATTTTATTATTTTTCTTTATTTTCAATAAAATTAATGGGATAATATTATTGGTGGAACGTTTTTGACATAATGTTGGGGTGCTGCGGCGTTTTAAAGATGGCGCCGAGGAAGGACGATTTCCGCGTGGTGAGGAAGGATCGTTCGTAAACGGTGAGTGGTTGTGTGGTATGGAAGAAGAATACGAGGTGATAAAAGAGAGAGAGAGTTGTATCATTAAAGGATCGCTATTGGTGCTGCTGAATAGCGCCGGGTACGTTCGTTTTGAGATTGAGAATAAGAAGAAGAAGAAAGAGGAGGAGGAAGAAAAGGTGGTGGTGGTAGTGGTGGTGAAAAAAAAGGAGGAGGAGGAGGATAAGGTAAAAGAAGAAGAAGAAGAGGAAGAAGAGGTAAAGAAAGAAGGACTTAAAAAAGAGGGAGGTTCGTTTGTTCTTCTTCTTCTTCGAAAGAAGAGGAGGAGGAGGAGGACCGGTGTTCGGTGCCGCCTCGGAATTCTCCATTCGAAGGAGCAGCTTAACGATAAGTACCGAATTAGAGGAGTAGGAGGAGGAAGAGGAGAAGGAAGAGGAAGGCCGGAAGGAGGTGCGTCGGCCTTTCGGATGTCGGCGTGCTGCTGCTGCTGCTTCCGCGACATCGACGACGACACCTCGTGTTTCGAGGATCGTTCGCCGTCGAGTTTCTTTACTGATATAAAGGTGATAATATATATGTATATAAGTATATACACATGTACTTACTAATTATATATTAATAGATACCCCTATATACACGAGTATATATATATATATATATATATATGTGGATGTGTATATGCATATATATATAGATACATGTCATTTAAAAAAGCTCTAAAAGAAAATGAATCTACCCAACCGACGTGGACGATTACCGTTTTGTCCAGGTCGGTTGCGGATCGATTTCCTAGTGGCGCGACCGAACGCCAGAGGGGGAAAGAGAGAATGAGGAAAAGAGAGCGAGAGAGAGAGAAGGAACGGCTTGAGAATGGCAGAAAGGGTGAGACGGAACCAGGCAGTACCACCGAAAACGGGGGTTGGGACGCGTCGCGTACGAATCTCGCGCTTGTGCGCGTCTATGTTTCTGACCAGTCAAAGAGACCGCCGTGAAAAAGAGAAAGAAAGAGAGAAAGAGGGAGAGAAAAAGAAAGAGAGAGAGAGAAAGAAGGGGGAGTGAATTTAGGATCTTTAAAAATGGTTTCCACTTGGAAGGATGTCTCGAGCAAAATAGTGAATAACGTGTCTGGAAATTTGATCGATTAAATTCAATGAAATCACGTTATTCTGTAATTTTCTTTCATATTTTTTGTTATTATCGAACATAAGTTTCAATGTATTAGTATCGGACGTTTAAAAAAATAGTTTCAAGTGGTTATTCTTTTTTGCGAGTAATTCAAACGATTTAGTGATCATTTTCTAACGAGAAAGAAGATAAATTCCTGTTCACCACGAGGACGAGGGCGAGGGCGACTCTCAGTGACCTCTGGCGATAAAACGATCATGACTGTTTGGAAAAGAGGGTTGAACGCCGCGTGTATGCTGAAACATTAGCGTGAATCGGTTTCTCTCTCTCTCTCTCTCTCTCTTACTCTTTTTCTCTTTCTCCATCTTTTTCTTTCTCACTAATACGATCCGGTTTCGGTGGTAAAAGATCAACGTAGCTCACCCACCTTCGCTTTGGTCATTTATTGAGACCACTGGTGTGTCCGACCTCACCGAACAGCAAAACCTCCTCGTTCCTCCCTCTGACCCTCTTACGCCCTCTGATTCTTGTCGGTCGATAGACCCGACTCACAACGTACCTTCTCCATTCTCTCTCTCTCTCTCTCTTTCTCTTTCATTCCCTCTTTACCCCCTCTTTCTTTCTCATTTTCTCACTCTCTCACATGCTCTCTCTTTCTCTTTATCTTTTTCTCTATTTGTATTATGATTTGGAGTTCTTCGAAATACTGTTTTCTTAACTCTTAACTTTCATTGGTGTCGATGAAATCGCCATTTCGTGTGTACAGGATTGGCCAAAAGCTTAGATATATAATTTACATGTTAACAGCTTGTCTGCATCCAGAACGATTATGTATGTACTTACCTACTTCATTCAACAATACTTATAATCCGAATAAATTTAGAACAGTCAATCGAAAACTTTCGACATTGATGAAATTAAAATGTCTCAATTTACCTTACACTTTTTGTGTCGTTGTTTGTGTAGATTCGAAAAGATCATCGTTCAAAGACAATCTCATCTCAATCTAGTTCAGTTTAGTTTGACCTTACTTCTTCCTCCGTTGTTAATCATTTAATCGTAGCTACAAAACGTCGTCGGATCCGAACGAAAATATTATAAAATTGACGGTCGTAAGATTAACTACGGTGTAAGAGAGAAAAATTAGGTTCATAATAGCTTTGCTCTATTATAAACGGCTACCGTTTTATCCTCGCAATGATCAATTCCTACGTGGGAGTCAGGAAACAAGAGTTTCCTGTACGCGTTCAAGAATCCGAGATATCTCGAATAAATTTCTTTGATCGTCCCGCGAATTTCATTTAACCAACTGGTTAGCCCACGTTTTTTATTTTTTCGTTACTCTAACGTAAAGGTCTATAATATCTTGGATAAAGAAGGAAAAGTTCAGGGTAATTGGTGGGTTGTCGTCATCATCTACGTCGCCATTATTGTTGTCGTTGTCGTTGTCGTCATCGTCATCGTCGTCGTTGTGGTCGTGGTAGTTATTGTTGCGACATAGGGTTACTTTCGTCGTTAAGGGAAATGGACGAGTTGGCGACGTTGTGTCTACTCGTCTGTTCCTTACCTTGATGATTCCTTCTGTCTCAGGGTGACGACCCCAATGGGGAGCTTGTCTCCCCTTTTCTACTTTGACTCTATTATTTATGTGGGAAAGAGAAACCGCGAATATAACAAAAAACAACACAGAAAAAACTTATCGAGGGAGTTAGTTAGCCGTACCGTTTAAAAATGAATCGTTCAATATTACGAAGGGTGTATCCCTTTAAAATAAACCTTTTAGTAGTAGCCCTCTTCGTTAATACAATTGAATTGCTTGTTTCCTGTGTCTCTGTTACAACGTTAAGCCCCCAAACGTATATCGTTTTCTCTTTACTTTATCTTTTTTTTGTTTTCACGACCCATCTTTTTTTTCGTGGTCTTCTATTTCATGCGTGTTAATTATCAGTTAATCAAGTACACCTATTACTATTGCAAAATCTAGAAAATTTTTCTCTTAATATATTTAAAATATAAACTCAAGTACTTTTAATTATTTTTTTCATATTTTCTTTTTGATATATAAATAATGCATTAATGTATTCAACAAATATATTTAATTTTTTCATATTCAAAATTTCTCAAACACACACACACAACAAAATGTACGTAAGTACATACACATTCCCATACGTTCACACGTACCGATACGAGTTAAAACACAAATATTGACTCCATTAATTCTTTAATTGACTCAAGTGTTAGATTATTGTAAGAGAACAAAATTACAAAGAAAAGATAGAGAAAGAGAGAAACTCATGAAATTTCGACACGATGTTCATCGATAGTTAAAACTTTTTAAGAAAAAATGAGATTATATTATGGAAAGGAGAGAACACATCCAATATCTTCTCTATCATATTCGTAGATGAAAAAGGAGACCGATCGTATCCCGGTGAACTTCGTGAGGACCTAGTTCATGTGAATGGCACGAAGTCGAGGAAAAAGGACTACGAGACACGACAAGCTATTCTAAATCCAGCCACGTGATATATTCCTTTCTTTGTCCTTCCTTTTTATCTTTTATTATCCTCCCTTTTCCATGTCTCTTTCTTTCTCTTTGAATATTTTATTTATCACACTCACAATCTTTCCAGCTTCCCCCTTAAACTGTGTTTCACTGAACATTAGTGATCACGAATGAGGATAGGTTCGTCGAAAAGAAATACAATAATAGGATAAAGATAAAAATAAAATAAATGAAATAATTATAATAATAATTCTTATACCTATAAACGGCAAAATAAGTGTCATTATCAAACACATTCGAGATAGAGAAAGCCAAGGATGGCGATAAAAAGTCGCGAAACTAAAAGAGAGAGACGACGTGGCTTTGAATTCTTTTACCTTCCTCGTCTCAACGTTGGCAACTACGTGCGAAGTAAGACAACAGTGAGATCTTATTGCAAGTCTGTCCGATCGATTGAGACCGGCACCAATAAAATCGGCTACAACGGAACCAGAAACGGCGGAATCAACGATAGCAACGGCTTCGACTGCACTTATACCTCTTCGATCAGTGGTATTATCAGAGACAACAAAAATAACCAAAACAACATTAATAACAACAAAAACAACTACATCAACATCAACAACTTCTACTTCTTCTCCGGAAGTGGTTACACCGATTGAGAGAGATCAACGTACTAGATTTCTCGTATGCTCTCTCTTTGCCTCTATTCCTCGCACGATTCGTGACAAACGTAAGTCCCTAAATCACCCTTCTCTTCCTCTATTTCTATTTTTATCCATCTATCCTTATTCTTGATATGTACATGTGTTACAAGGTGAAAGATCGAAATTGAAGAATGTCACATGGTGAAAGACTGAATATTTGTACCATGTGAATCTTAACATTCTCCAAGTTCGTTCTTTCATGGTAACATACATATACTCTAATTTTGAAACTTTTCAATCCTTTTATCCAAGCTATTCCTTTATTTCTTTTACTCGATCATTTATCTTGATTTAAACTGTCGATTTTTTTGCCACCCAAGAGATTCTCTAATATCTAAAAGCTTCCCTTGGAAAAAGATTATTTTCTATCATAGAATTTTTATATTGTAGAAAAATCCTTATATTGGTAAGCTCATCACACACACACACACGTATGAAAGATTATTTGTTATCATCAAATTTTATATCTTAGATAATCTTTGCGTCGAAAAGCTTTCTTCTCGTAGAAAAATTATATTTTAGGTATTTTAGATTTTGTTAATTTTTTCAAATCTTTGTTCAATTCTTTCGTTTATACGTAATATATTTTTCTAATTGAAATCTATATCTATATGTATATCTTTCTTTCGTTAGAATTCATTCTCCTTTGAGTGGGTAAGTGTAAGCACGATATCCCTCCAGTTTTATAAGTCAGTGTTAATGCTCTTTAACGCGTCATCCTTCCGGTGACGTACAGCTGCTCGTTGCTCGTTGACCGAACACGACTAAACGGAAGTACGATGAGAAAGGAAATGGCGTTTCATGACGTTCTCCATGTCGAGTGACGTAAATGAAAAGAAAGAGAGGAAAGAAAAAGAGAAGAAGAAAAATAAGCAAGAAGAAGTGAGAGTATGTGTGTGAGAGAGAGAGAGAGAGAGAGAGAAAAAAAATTAGAAAAATCTTATAAAACGAGTTCAAGTTTTCTTCACTACGTCAGATTTATGGCAAAAGAAAACATCTCATATAAAACGAGTTCAAGTCATTTTTCTTGTCTTCTTCTTCTTCTTCCTCTTCTTCTTCTTCTCAATCTAAGCAAATACTTTTTCCCTTTTACATTTTTAGTTATGAATTATTAAAAGAAGATGATATACAAAAAAATAACAAGAATTAATCGTTTATATTCTTTGAACTCATTTTTTAGAGTCGTACGTGTCGCTAAGTTACGTCAGAGTTTGCATACACGATGTGGTTGGCTGCAATTTTGCAGCTGACTTTTCTTCTTTCGTCAGAGCAGAAAATTTTCTCGACGATAATATATAATTTAGAATTGAAAGTCTCGTTTAACAATTTTGGTAACTCGTAGAAAGTCAACGAAATATTCAATGAAATTCGATAACGTTCGTTTGATGCCTTTTACGAAAGAAAAAATAAAAATAAAATCTAGAAAAGGTGAACTAGTTTAAATTGATTGACTAGGTCAAAACAATCCATCTTTTTAACAGCGATTAAATGAATGTCTTTCATTTATTTTACATCTTCGAAATGAAATACACGTGTTCTTGATAAATTTAATTTTGAAAATTTCTACATAAAAAAAAAAGAAGAGGTGTTCATCGTATTTTTAAAAAGATATCTTGAAATTTTACGAATGACATTAAATCGCGTTTTTTTTTCTTTCACGATTACGTCAGAATTAAAAGAATTTTTGGATAGAAAATGATTAGTCATAGATTGTGACTATTTTTAAATATATTTTACGAACGACTGCTCTAGCGCACACGTAGTATCACTTTGTACACTCATTCTCATTCTTTTTTTTTTCCAAATAATTCTTATGCCGATGTTTCTTTTTCGAAATGCCGAAGGCTACAATATCTGAACCGATACAAAAGGTGGTAAGAGTTGACAAAGAGGCGTGTGATTATCGATCCGTCAAGTTAACAAGTACTACCGAGCGATCTTATTTTCTGCTTTCGTTTCATTGCAATTCTATGGAAAAAAGAAATAAAAAGCATCGTGATTTTGGTCTTTGTTCAAAGTACGTGTCCAATTACACATTGGACAATTTTTACAATTTTTTCTTTTCTCCCAAACGAATTTGTCTCACTTTGAGAAAAATTTGGCAAATAAATTTGGAAAGAAGAAATTTCATGAAAAGAAATAAAAATTCATTCACACAGAAAACGTTAGCCCTCTCTAATTCTGTGTCATTTGAAGATTGCGTTATTAAAGTACATCTCTTTTGTTATTTATTACATATCTTTGTCTTCCGTCTAATCAAATCTAATTGGCCAAGAAGAGATTGGCTCTAATCATGTTACGAAAAGTCGATAATCAAGATAGGTCTCTCGATAGAAGCGATACACGCGGTACAATGAAGAAACCTTAGGAAGGCCTTGACATATGCTCTCGTTTACTTATGTTAGTTCTTTCTTATGCGCGGGAACATTTAAATAGTGCAAAGTATGAGTTTATCGACCATGTCCTAAACATTTCTTGTGGTACTTCGTTAGAAGGGCGTGATTTTCAATACCATTTATTATTTATTTAGATCTTCATATACATTTGTTTTATTTATGTCATTTTAATCAAGTAATATGCTCATTAAATAGATTGACCCTTTCGCCATTTTTTTAGAAACGATAGCTAAATGTTTTTTTTTTTTATTACTTGTAGTATATATATATATATATACATATATAATACATATATATTTTGTTTTTTATTTGCAGAAATACAGAGGACGAGTTTATCTCGCAGGATGGATTCGTGCGGGATCTACTTGTCTCAGCTACGAGCAATGCTCGTGAGAAATCTTCTGCTGAAGAAACGTGAAAAGCGGAAGACCACCGCGGTACGTTTATCACATAAATATACTTCTTACTATTTTTTATTTTTTATGAATTATTATTATTTTTATATTTATACATATTCTCCCCTAAGAAAATGTATGTTTTATTTTAATTATGATGTTGATTTATTCGATTTCTCGTACATCCTTAAATATTTATTTGAAAATATCGTACATGATTGTTCGTTCCACTGAAAGAATAATTAATTAGGCACAAGGAAACTTGAAATTATTCATGAATTTAATCAACAAAATATTTCTAATTCTTAATATTGATAAACATGATTAATATACATAAGTTTTATAAAGTGTAGTTAGTAAAACTAAGCTTTGCTATTTAGATCAATGATTAAATGAATAGAGAGAGAGATCCGCTTATGCGTTTGCACTTGTTAATAGCTTATGCACGTGGATTAACAGTACGCATTGATACTAGTAAATACGATAATGACAAAGGAATGTTATAACATCCGATGAGACTATAACGTCATGTTGTATAATCAATCTACTTGGAAAAGTATCATATGTTTCTTTTCAACGACGTTAAATTCGATACATATGTATTATACATACTTATTCATGAAGAAACGTATAATAACGCGTATCCATCATTTAATACGGTGTAATAAACTAAAATGAAACAGATCAGATAAAAAAAAGAAAGGAAAGAAAGATTTTTTGCCGACGAAAACTTTACGTGTAACACACACAATGTATAACTGTCCTTCTCGTGATATATGAAGCAGAAAAGAATTTAAAAATCTAATAAATTTTCGATTGAGGGTTGTTTGGTCAGTGGTGCGTGTGTTTGGTGGCACGATTTCATTTTCTTATGAAAAAAAAAGTGGAACAGGGGTAGGGCAATAGGTAAGAAGATGGGTAGAATTTGGCAAACGTTATCGAATAATCGAATGATTGCTCAACGAATAAAAATTGTTAAAGTTTTGACGAAAATAACGAGTCATTTGGTTTAAATAAATTTTGAATTTCTTTTATTTTCATGATTTTATTTTTCATATCATTCGTCGATAAATGAATATTAGGACAAATCAAATGAATAATCATTCTCGTTTATATCAAAGCTTTTTTTCAATATCATCAACGTTGATCACGACTGTATAGTTGGCGTGTGTAGTTTATTCGTTTAAAATACGTACATTTATACTTTACTCTCCCACGTTGATCACTCTCGGTAGGAGGATCCTGTTTGGAAATACAAATATTCAAATATGTATACACGTTTTCACACACACACACACACAGCAGCAGCAGCAGCATATATATGTATAAATGTTGCACGTATACACAAATTTGTAGAAACACATCGTGAGCTCTTGTTCCGGCGATTAAAGCGTCAGCTCGAAAGTGGAACTTGAAATAAAATAAATGTTCGGGGAATAAGCAGGAAAAATCAATGATATTTCACGGATTATTTTTAACGGGAGAATCATCGAAGCGAGGAGGCTTGTTCACGAATCAAAAAATGTTGAAAAAAGGAGTTAATAAAAATCTATAATGAAGAGATGAAAGCACTAAACACAGAGARAGAGAGATGGAGAAAAAAGAAACGATCGTTGGTTCGTGCCACGTCAAATTTTCTGCTTAGAAAATTCGCGAGGAATACGAAAATAGAGGAACATCGAAGATCGATCGTAGAGCCTGGATAAACTTACGATACCACGGATAAAAGAAAAGATCGATTGAAATTTTACATGCACCGTGTATGAACTTTGACTTGTTGAGAATAATTAATGAAAGTATTGTTTTAAACTATGACGAGATAAACCAATATATTTTTGTATTTTATTTTTTTTTCGAAAGAAAAATTCGTTATACTTGAAAGTCTTTTTTACACAGTTATTTTCTTATTCACGAATATTGTCAAACGATCGATATTGGCGAAGAATAAAAAATGAATAAAAATAATAATAATAATAATAATAATAATAATAATAATAATAATAATAATAATAATAATAATAATAANAAATGAATAAAAATAATAATAATAATAATAATAATAATAATAATAATAATAATAATAATAATAATAATAATAATAATAAGAAGAAGAAGAAGAAGAAGAAGAAGAAGAAATAAGGAAAGCGTTAGGGAGTGCCAAAGGATTTGTCCGCAATAGGAAGTGAAGTCTCTCTTTCTCTCTCTCGCTATGTGAGTTTGGAACAAACGGTAAAAAAGAAATAAAAAGTTTTAGATGGGTTTGTTCTATGGCGACGAAACGACTGCGTTTCACGGTTAGCCGCAGTAGCCAAGTACGAAACTACGGCGTGCTGCCAGTCGCAGCAGTGCGCTGCCATTTTTGCGTGCGTACCGTGCCAACTGGGCCAAGGGTCGAGGAGGAGAAGAAGAAGAAGAAGAAGAAGAGAAGAATCGTTTATTGCTGCTCTACTATTAGTACTAGTAGTAGTACTACTACTAGTATTATTAGTAGTAATAATAGTAATAGTAGTAGTAGTGGATGGTAAAAGGGTAGATGGATTTTAAGCAAGACTTCCATTTTCAGGTTTTTTCCTTTTGCTTTTATTTGTCTTCCATTTGTTATCTTCTTCTTCTTTTTTTCATTTTTCTTTTTCTTTTTCATCCTAAGTTAGATTTTATTTTTCTAGACCATCCGTGACACAACACAAAAAGGGGGGGGGGAATAGAAAAAAACAGGACGGATATTATATTTTGGCTCGAACAACGCATGATCGATAATATCCTCTTCCTGTCCTATAATGATATTATCGAAAAAAAAATATAATAACAAGGGAAAAAAAAGTACATAAAACTATATATCGATGTTAATACGAGGAGTTGGATATATAAATAAAGTTAAAAATTTTATTAGCTTTCTTCTAAGGTAGTTATAAAAAATGTTGTATTCGATGGAACAAATATCGTTGATCGTTCCAATTCTTTTTCCCAATCATTTTATACGCGTTCCAATTCCTTTTTAAAATGTTTTACGATGATTTAAGGATTGAATTAACGAGCTGATTCGTAATGACGCGCATTAAATAACAGCCGAGGAAAGTAAAATAGAGATAAAGTGAAAAGGGGGAGGAGGATGGAGAGAGAGAGAGAGAGAGAGAGAGAGAGAGAGAGAGAGGAAGAGATCGTGTGCCAATTCAATTTCAATATCTACATGTATACCAATGATATAGCTACTGCTATTCTCTCGAAAGTTATGGATGACATCGAAAGCTCTCTCTCTCTCTCTCTCTCTCTCGTATTTGGAGAAATTATCTTCGACGTAGGGGGAAAAAAAAAAGAAAAAACCGGAGGTGTTGATTTTTTCAAACGTCACCTTTTACTATCATCCTTCGATCCCTCATCCCATCCCACCCCATCCCTCTTTCCACCGTAGATATGATACTGCTTTCCATCTTCGTTCCTAAGACATTTTTACGCGTGCTCGATTCTTTCATTTTCTTTCAAGAGAAGACGTGGGTGTCGTACATTTGATGGATCGCCAAGATTGATCCTTCCTTCGATCTTTTTTTTYTCTCTCTCTCTTTTTTTCTCTCCTATTATTTTTTCTCTTCTTCTATTTTTTTTTTCTTTTCGAAAGAATAGAATAGAAAGATTTATTAAGGGGATGATCAAGAAGGACGATAAAGCCATGGTGGTGAGGGGAAATCACTTCTTTCTGGAGTTCCTTAGCTTATTTTCCATATTTCTAAAAATGCTAGGATCTAGTAAATTGGTAGGACCATTGTTCCATAGATTAGTAGAAATAGTCTCGGTTGGTTCGACTATGTTTGGCAAAAGATGAGGACCGACCAAGAAATAGACTTGCTCGACCCAAGTTGGCAGAGGTAAACCGACGACGCAGCATTGCCAAACAGGCAAACCAAGATGGACCAACATCATACGAAAGTATTTGGTAAAACTGTCGGCCAGATGATACCATCTATCGGTAGTTTCCTGATGTAGCCAAATTTCGGGTGACTTTTGTTCAACTTTGCTTGGATATGCCAAGTACACCTTAGCTTCTATTGTTGTAGGAAAGCATCTAACTATCTCGAAGAGTTTAGAACCACGTGGATTAGTCGTGGTAATCTTCGAAGTACCGGGAACAACGTTCTCTGTACTTCCTACGAATATCTCGACTTCCGGCTCGTTGTCGGTCCCTCTTTCATTCGAAACCAGACTCGTCATCGACGTTGTTGTCGTTGTTGTCGTTGTCGTTACACTTACACTTTGTTGTTGTCGATCCTTCCCAACACCGAGGTAACGTTTTAGAGACGACAGCTTGCCTATCTCCATTCGCCCTACCGGAAATTCTTCGCCTGTATACGAATGAGTGACTCTCTAATTCATTATCCCTCATATCTCAAACAAGCAATAATTCGATGTTATTGATATAGACAATTGACGTATACGATGTCCTTGAAAAATATATTCTTTAATAAAATAATTTAATACATAGAAAGAAATGGAAAAGAAATATGTCAAATGAAAATAATGAAATGATTATATCTTTATTTTACAAACGTCAAGTGAAGAAAAATAGAAAAGATAACTAAATTGTTACGAAAAAATATTTTACAACGAGACATATCTCATGCAAGGATAGAAGAAAGGAAAAAAAGAAAAATATGAAAATATACATACCGGCTATCTCGAGATTCCACTGTAGTAGAAAACCATCGATCGAAGCATAGAAATTCTTAACGTCTTCTGGCAGCACGCAGCCGTGTCGTTGCTCCCAATTCGCAATGGCGTTACGTTCGCAACCGTTACGCCTGTCTACGCGAACGTTTTTAACGCATGGCAAATTGTCGAGTATCTTGACGACACCTAATGTTAAATTTTCGTAAAAGGAATCCTCGGGTACGGCGTCGACGAAAAATGACATCGTTTCACTACGTTCGCGAGAATCCATCTTTGATTTTCTATTGTAAAAAAAAAAACTGTCTGCGCCAGTTCTTTCCGACAGGATTTCCGACAGGTGAACGAAGAAGAAGCTGGCTGGCTGGGCTACTCGAAAATATTGCTTTCGTTTAACTTGTTTATCGTCATGGCAACGGTATAACAAAGTTGAACACACCGGTTCACCGGTGGTTTCCTATTTACCCTCGAAGTAACGTTCAACACGAGCGTATCGAACACGACGGCTGCTTGTTCCTGTGCATACGATTCTCATCAAACAGATACACATGTCCACAAAAGGGGAAGATATTTTTTCAAGGAACAAGGAGGGTTCGAATCATGCGAGGAAACCTCACCCTTATGAAAAGAGAAAAAAAAAGAGACATGAAACAAAATTAACCTATGTATTTCAATTTTACATGGGAGTTACGTTACTCGTAACATATGATTTTCAGCTACCCTTCATTATCTTCCATCGTTATTGGTGGGACGAACTTGAAGGGGATCGTAAGGATTAGTCATAAAAACCTTTCATTGTTCCCTAGAAAATGTGGGAGTTTTACGAACAAACTTTTACTCTCTGACTCTATTTCATTTTATTTTATTTTCTATTTTTAACATCAAATGATGAATGCTAATGTTTCTTTTATGACGTTAAATAATTAATCTGAAATAAGCTGAGAATGTAATTAAATGATATTTACGAGATCTTTTTTTGATTTACACAATGAATTACTGTTTTATTTTTATTTTTATTATTATTGTAGGAGATCTTCCTGCCTCTTTACACTTTAGGAATTCTAATAGTGATAAAGGTGTTGATACCTAATCCAAATTATCCTGCAATGACGACGAGAAGGCATGAAGAAAGTATATTCGAGTTATTTAATGGTTATAAGAATAATACGATAGCTGTGGTACCTAATTCGACAGAAACTCTCGTAAGTTTTCATTAGATACGTATAAAAATATACATGTGTCTCGTAAAACCTATTCAAATCTTTTGATAGCATCGATTCGTCTTCTAGACCTTCTTAAATTCGATGAACACGCTATGGTTGTCTATGTGGGACCGCTCTACGAAATTACCTTTGAATTTCATGATATTCGATACGAAAGATGATCTACAGGCAGCTTATTGGAGAGATCCATACAGTATACCTCTGGCTGTGATCTTCGAGGACTCTCAACCGATCTCTCAACGTCTTCTGTAAGACTATTTTTTACATGTATATACATTATACATACATTTTCAGCCAAAAGTTTCGAATAACTACGTAAATTCAAAAGAAATAGTATAAATAACCCCTTAAGCAGATTTACGAATCAATAAAAACTTATTAGTAGTATGTTTAACATTTTTTGATCAAATAATGAATATATTTCTTTTCTTCGAATTTTCTTTTTCATCAAAATGAAAAATAATGATTCGTCGCAATTAACCCAAACTAAATTGAATTTGGGTTAATCGAGTAAATCTCCAAAATTAACGGTCTTCCTGTGATTCTGGTCATACTGAACATTTCACAAATCAACAAGTAATTTCGAAACTTTTGACTATAATTGTGTAGATAGATTGCTATTTCAAAGTTGAATGTATTAAATTGTTACTTTGATACGATTATTTGCATTCACGAAAAGCTATTCTTTTTCTTCCATTCTTTATTTGTTTTTTATTATAAACCAAATTGAAGGGTGGTTAAGAGTAAGTGACTACTTGTATCTTTTAGATACGAGATTAGAACAAATCCATCGTATACGTCACCTCCTTCGCCTACTGAACTCTATTCCGCTCCGGTTACTTGCCGAAAGGACACCAGCCATTGGATGGGTGACGTTCTGTCGATAGAAACTGGCGGATCATGTCCCGTGATTAACTACTTGCATTCTGGCTTCCTAGCTTTGCAAATGCTAATGGATATTACGAAGATAAGGGTACGTCAGTTACTTATAGTCTTGGATTATATTGCTTACTTTTTCTCTTTCTCTCTCTCTCTTGTTCTCTCTTACGAAATAGATCTTCTAATGTATTACTTCCTTCTTTACTACAGCTTGACACGCAAAACATCGAAGTAACCATTCCGGATATAACATTAGAAATGTTTCCGAAAGAAGCATTTACCGCTGGTAAGTTAACTCTCTTTCTCTTCCTCTCTTTCTCTCTCTCTCTTTTTTCAAAGCTTATTTATTTTCCTTAAAGAAATGATGATGGAATAATGTTTTTTCCTTAATGCAACATATATATTTTTTAGATTGGATGTTGGCTTTTAGAGTGGTTATTCCTTTGTACATGGTCTTAGCACTTTCACAGTTCATTACTTATCTCTTGATATTAATCGTCGGTGAAAAAGAGAATAAGATTAAAGAAGGAATGAAAATTATGGGTCTTAAGGACTCTGTATTTTGGTAAGTGAATATATTGTATAAATGATGATGAAACTAATAAATTCTAATGTATGCATTAAGTGCATTTAATATTGATAAATCGTTTCTTGTGCTTTAGGATATCCTGGTTCATTATCTACAGTATCTTTGTATTGTTACTTTCTGCAGTCGCAGTTATATTACTCTTCACTCTACAAATGTTTCAGCATACGCACTTTTTACCGATATTTCTCCTTGTAGTACTTTATAGTTTTTCCGTCATCATGTTTGCCTTCATGATAACACCATTCTTTGACAAATCTCGAGTAAGTATTTATACGTTAGGATGAATTAACGTTAAAATTAAATAGATAATTTACGATCGATTTTAATGTAACATTATTAGCCAAACATTTCAAATTTCAAAGCGAACATCTCATACTCGTATCTTGTTTTAGACTGCCGGTGTCCTTGGAAACTTTGCAGTAACGATACTAAGTTTGATGTACTTCATTCAAGTATTCGTAGACGATTCTAGCTCGATCTCATTTTGGTTGGTATCACTTATAAGTCCTACGGGTGTTGCATTGGCCATGGACAAGGCAAGTTTTTTTTTTTAAACGTTTAATCAATAATAAAATCTTCGTAGAGATAAATTTTGTTTGTTATTAATTACGAGTTATTTATTAGGCCTTAGTCCTGGACTTACTAGGAGAAGGAGTCAATTTTGATAATCTTTGGTCCGGTCCTGGTATGCCTTTCGGGGGAAGTCTCATTATGATGACTTTAGACATATTCTTATATGCTTCCTTAGCATATTACTTGGACTCGGTTATTCCAAGTATGTTTAACGAATAATGTGTTTGTTTTTTTCTGATCCAGTAAAAGACGATTATCTTTAATGACATTTTGATTAATAGGCGAATACGGTACGAAAAGACACCCGTGGTTCTGTTTCACGCCAGGATTTTGGTGTCAACGTAAAGTTCAAAGGGTACCATCGTCTAACGGGGAATCCAATTCGTTTATACCCGGCGAGGAAACAAATCGAGACGTTGAACCGGTTGTTCGTGAGATGAAAGGAAGAGAAGCGATTAGAATCGTAGATTTATTTAAATCTTATCAGAAATGTCGCAAGCCTGAAATTAAGGCAGTCAATGGTATCAATCTAACGATTTATGAGGGACAAATAACAGCTATACTGGGACACAATGGTGCCGGTAAAACCACGTTGTTTAATATACTCACGGGATTGACATCGCCAACAGCCGGTACAGCTTTGATTTTTGGATATGACGTACGAGATTCAAACGATATGCAGGTGATTAGAAGTATGACAGGTGTATGTCCTCAGCATGACATTCTGTTTGATCTTTTAACACCTAGAGAACATCTCGAATTTTTTGCTGCTGTACGTTGCATTCCAAAATCGATGATCGAATATGAGGTATGACAATATATAAAGTTTCTAAATAATTGAAGTTCATTTTTTATTCTTTTTCTTTTTCTTAACTATTATATAAAACGTTCAATAATTATGTCAAATATTACAGGTAAAGAAAACGTTAAAAGATATCGATTTGGTTGAAAAAGCAGATACTTTTGCAAAATACTTAAGTGGTGGTCAGAAGAGAAAACTCTCAGTAGGTATCGCCATTATCGGTGACCCTAAGATCATTATCCTTGATGAGCCCACAGCTGGAGTGGATCCATATTCAAGAAGACAAATGTGGTCTTTCTTGCAATCCAGAAGGCATGGTAAAGTCATTCTTTTAACGACTCATTTTATGGACGAAGCAGATATATTAGCTGACAGGAAAGCAGTTATAAGTAAAGGAAGATTGAGATGTTGCGGTAGTTCATTGTTCTTAAAAAACAAATTTGGCATCGGTTATCATTTAACGTGAGTATAAAATATAATATAAAATACGCATGTGTGTGTATATCTGTAAAAAACAAAAATTAATATTATGATTTAATTAATATATTGCAATTATTCTTGTTTATTATCATTCCAGTCTCGTACTCGAAGGTAACGCTAGGGAACATGCGATAGCGCGATTAGTATCGTCTCACGTAACGAAAGCCGAAAAAGCAAGACGTCATGGTCGTGAATTGAGCTTCATCTTGCCTCATAATTCAGTGGAAAATTTCGCCTCACTTTTTTCGGCTATCGAGCACGAAATCAAAACGAGATCGAGTAGGTTGGGTATCAGTAGTTATGGAGTATCTATGACGACCCTGGAAGAAGTATTTTTACATCTGGAAAAAGACGAGGAAACGGAGTGTACCATGGATAATCTGTCTAAGAAAATGGTTCGTAATCGTGCACTTAGTAGATCGTTGTCCTTGCAGTCGAAAAGTACATCGTACCAGAGTTTACAGAACGAAGGTGTTATCGTTCAAAATGATGGTCAAGCAAAAGGTAATTTTTTATATTTATTATATTTGTTAAATGCAAAATTAATTCACTATTTAATTCGTTAATTAAATATTTTGTTTTGCAATTATGTTGAATTACAGGAGCAGGTGATCTACCAGATGGAATTCACAATGATAGGAATCCTCCTGTTCTCGGCCTTGGCTTAGACCCCATCAAAATTCGGCCTAACTTCCTTCAAATTCTTTACGCCATGCTACGCCTAAGGATACTCAGGCTGTTTAGAAACATTCAACTACTTTACTTCACCATCATTGCTCCTCTTGCTCTCATAATCCTCGGTCTCTACATAAACAGTATTCAAACGGTCGATCTTAAAATGCAATCTCTTGAACTTAATAGTGGTACGTTTTTCTAATTTTGTACATATAATATAATATTTCAAGTATCATCGAAATATTTATTAACATTTAAGATATTGGTTCTCTCTCTCTTTTTCTGTACATTTTTTAGACACCTACGGCAATAAGACGAAAATTGTATATGTGAATAATACCAAAGTTGACATAACGCTTTTGATGGATGGTATAAGTCAAGATGTTAAGCACGTCGATGAATACGATGGAAATTTCGTTAGTTTGTTGAAAAGCGCACCACACATGGCAGCATTTAATATCAATGAATATAACTTTCCTAAAATAGGTTTAACGATCGTATATAACGATACTATGCAACATTCCTTACCCATCTTATTGAATGTACTTTTAAATACTTATTATAGGTATGTATATTATTCCTCATTCTTAAAACAAACAAAACAAAACAAAAATTACAAATTGCAGTAATTGTTGTAATAATTTCGTTACAAACAGATTGGTAGCTGGAAGGGACGATGTTACTCCAATTGAAGTAAAGACTCATCCGTTTCAACAGACATCACAGCCACAAGAATTTAACGTAGGCATTGCTAGCTCAGCATTATTAATTGGAATGGATTTTGTTTTATTACCGATCACGTTAGCAGTTGATATGGTTTACGATCGAGAAGTAAGGATAATTTCATTTAAAATATTATTTAATTAAAAAAAAAAAACAACGATATATTATATAAATATATATACCTATATAATTTAATTTTTAGATAAAAGCAAAGAATCAATTGCGCGTCAATGGTCTGTCATTTCCAATGTACTTCCTTTCCTATTTCATTGTCCTCGTCGGCCTGATGACATTTATTTGTTTATGCATCGTCGGCATTATATTTCTTTTTGACGTGCCTTCGCTTCAAGAACCACCAGCACTCATCACCCTTGGTGTCCTATTGATGTTATACTGCCCTTCGTCTATTCTATTCTCGACATGTTGGAGTTATATCTTTGATAAGATGGACTCTGCACAAAGTATTTTACCCAATATTGCAACATTCCTTGGACTTATACCGTTTCTGCTTGTCGTCATATTAGACATGCTAGGCGTCGGTAAATAACATATATTATTAATAATAAAATAATAATATATATGATATTATTATTTATTTAACAAATATAAAATATAATAATTTATTTAAGGTGGTACAGCAGCATTCGCTTTGCACGTGGTTTTTTCTCTGTTAAATACCATGTACGTGCCCTTCGCAGCGGTATACTATGTAGATCGCGTCCATTTAATGTGCTCCATCAATGCTGCTTGCCATCATTTAACGATGTCGGACTATCTTACTACAGAGATCATTTTAATGGCCGTTGGTGTACTCTTACATTGTCCATTATGGTTCTTTGTCTTGCTATTATTGGACATCAAGAAAAGCGGTGGTAACGTCAGCGATATCTTTAAACACTTCCTGGTAAGAAGATTTTTTCTATTTGTCTTTTTTTATCATTACGTAAATATATATGTACATACAAATAAATGTATAACACGTATGGTATGTTTGTATAGAGAAATGGTGGTTCTATTGGCGAGGAGATCATGGAAAATTCCGATATAGGCGAACACGAAGATTCTGACGTTAAAAATGAAAGACAGAGAGTGTTTAATCTTATTACGTCACCTTCCGTTCAACAACCACCTGTGGTACTAGTGCAGGTAAAATTATTTTCTATTGAAAATGATGAACATATTAAATATGATATAAGCATGATCTTGATCATGATTATTAAATACGTTAGAATCTACGGAAAGAATATCGTCAACGAGAAGCAGTTTCTTGTAGCTGTTGTACCAAACGGGAGGAAGAAGCAACACCACAAATGCAACAAAAAGTCGCCGTACGAAATCTATCATTGGCCGTTGAGCCAGGCGAAGTATTCGGACTGTTGGGTCATAACGGTGCCGGTAAAACTACCACAATGAAGATTATTATTGCAGAGGAAGCAGCGACACGTGGTAGAGTACAAATTGGCGGAAACAGTATTCACTCTCACATTGCAGAAGCATTCAGACAAATGGGATATTGTCCTCAACACGATGCCCAATGGAAAAACATTACGGTACGAGAACATTTGGAATGTTATGCAGCCATTCGTGGTGTACCTTGGGGAGAGATTAACAGGTAATTTTAAAACAACTTTTATCCTGTGTTTATAACAATAACTTTAATCATCTAACTAACGATATTATTTCAGAATTGTTGATCTCTATTTATCCGGTCTTCAAATACATGAACATGCCGATAAACAAACTCAAGAATGCTCAGGTGGTACTAGAAGAAAACTCAGCTTTGCAATGGCAATGGTTGGAGGACCAAAGGTTGTTTTAATGGATGAGCCCAGTACGGGTATGGATCCTAGGTCAAAGAGATTCCTATGGGATACCATTCTTGCTAGTTTCCAGGTACCATTGAAACAATAAGAACTTTCAATCGGTTTTTAATATATTTTTTTTTTTTATAATCTTCGTGAATTTGTTCAATAGGGCGGTCGAGGAGCAATTCTTACAACTCACTCAATGGAAGAAGCAGATGCATTGTGTTCCAGAGTCGGTATAATGGTCAAAGGTGAACTGAGATGTATAGGTTCGACGCAACATCTTAAAAATCTTTACGGTGCTGGGTACACTTTAGAAATGAAACTTTTGGGTGGCGACTGCACCCCAACTACGCCTTCCAGTGATAGATTATCTGCATTAAAAGAATTCGTTGCTGGTCTCTTTCCTGATGCAACTGTAGAAGAAAGTTTTGCAGACAGATTGGTATTTGCCGTTCCTCAACACGCAGTGAACTCGCTGGCCGAGTGTTTTATGCAGTTGGAGAAGGGTGAGAGAAAGAGAGAGAGAGAGTATTTTTACATTGAAAAAAAAAATAATTAATTTTAAATACGCTTATGGAGCAAAAAAAGTAAAAAGAATAATAATTATAAAATTTTTAATTGCAGCCAAGCAAGAGTTGGATATTGAAGAGTACAGTTTCAGTCAAACTACGCTGGAACAGGTGTTTCTTAAGTTCTCTCATTACGATGAGAGCAATAGTGGTGAATGACGATCTAGATATTCAGTGTGTTAGTATCCCGTTTTTAATTATGAACTTGCTATACTTTCAAGATTGCTCAATAACGCGCGAGAGTATTAAAAGTAATTGTTTTTATCTCTACGAATGAAGAAAACCGAAACGAAAATGATATTAAAAAAGTTATTTACGTTGTGAGAAAAACAATATCACGACGATCGGATAATATTGCACTAAAAATGCGAGTACGAGCGATGTTAAAGAAACAAAAAAAATTATTTTCTTTCCATAAGTTCATAGTTTAATAATTTACAAAATTATAATAATCGTCTATCCTTTATTGATATATTTTTATTATTATTATTAATTATTATCTAAACATTACATCACAATGATTCATTACATGCACGACCTTTTCCTCTATGAGGATTCAGTGGCATACATTAAAATGTTTTTATCTAATAGGAAGGGTAGTATTGTCCCAAATCTGTAATTGAATTTAGATTAAACTCGTATTCTTGTTAAATAAATCATTCAAAGGATATTGTATATACATTATCTTGAAATATGCTTTTGTTAGTACTATAAACCATGTAACACATAATTGCACAATTAAAGAAAAGCAACTATTTAATACGAAATTTTCGCTGTCGAAATATAAGCTAACATACAATAAATACATGCATTCATAAAATAAATACATAAATACATTAAGCAAGTATGGGTTCTAATTTTAGGGCTTCCTGAATAAAAGATTTTTGTAAAAGCGAATTCATTTGAGAATCTTAGGATATACAAAGAAAAATAATAAACTAGTAATTGGAAGGGGTTTTGGTATCCATGATCCCACCACCATGACTGTATGTCACTGTTAGGATCGTATATCAACTGATATAATATTTAAACATACTACGAGTATACTGCGAGTATATACAACAATTAATATTGATATTATAATGAAATCGTTTATTTCTCGTGCTCGTATTTTGGTGCATCGTAAATTAGACGTTTGCGTAAAAATACTTCTGTGTTATCTGAGCAGATAATTAAGTGTTAATAATTAGCATCTTGTAAATATAGTCGCAAAAGGATAGTGTTCGAGCGCCGATTACAAAAAGATAAAAAAAAGAAAATAAGTTCCGTTTTCATTGATAACACGAACAAAAAATACCAATTTAATAATCTAACATACAATTTATACTGATTTCATCGTTTCGGTATTATTTTACGCTCTCTTTTTTTAGATACCAAAAGAAATACTCGCGCAGCGGTCTCGTAACAATATTGCATTGGAATTGGATCCTATAATGTATCTAATGTTAGTCACAAAAATATGACGTAATGTTTATGATCATTAACAGCGAGGAAGCGCAGATAAGTCTCTTCTGCGTGTAATATATACATATACATAACACACACACACATACATACATACATACATAAATACGAACATAACAACATATATATCAATTTATTTAATTTTAATGCGACAATTTGTTATCCGCAAACGTATGAGAAGAGCATTTTACCCCGATATAGAATCGAATAAATTTTAATCGATTTGAATACGATGACGTATTCGTAAATAATTCAAGAAAAAAAAAATAAATAAATAAATAGTCGAGAAACATTGACGAAAAACTTTTACGTAATATTATCGATCCAAGAGAAATGGCATACATACAAAAAAAAAAATAGAATTATAGTAATTATGTATCTAATAACGTTTCTTCTCCGTCTGTCTTATGGTCTTTTATCAAGCTTTTTTTGGATCACAAGTCAGAAGGATACAATAGGTCGTTATTTATTGCCTCTTTAGGATGTAAAACGATGATAATGATGATAATGAGGATAATAATGATGAAGATGATGATAAAAATGATGAATTAAGGGAATGCAAAAATTTTATAATTCCGTTTAGATTTATGAGACGTACACATATAGAAAAGGATCTCGCATGATCCAATTGAGTTGAGATATCGAAACGAATAGTTGGTTGATTTTCGGTTGGCAAAAATTTGAATTATTCTTGAGTACCATTTAGATCTAACCGTTCAATTAAGTATAAATACTTTGAAAGTTTGATCAACGTATACTCTCGAAAATTCAATTTATTGCTATCTTTTTTATCGCCTACGAAACGTCATAATGATTGATAAGAAAATTGCTGCCGATAAAAATAAATATATATAAATATTTATATATATATTATATAGATATATATGTGTGTTTATGTATATACAAGATGGTTCGCTAAAATGATAGATTCTTTTTTTTCTTTAAAAATATCATCGATTGATTCCGTGATCCTTATATTATACGTAGAACAAGTTTCGCCTAGTTGTACGGATCAAACAACGAACGTTATTTGAAAGTGAGTTTATTTAATGAAAAAATCCTTATCATTATTTGTACAAAATTACACCTTGCGACGTTAGAGAAAATGTGAAAGCCTTATAATTAGTTCTTCATCTTTGATCCTTTCATCTTTTAAAAAATAATGAAAAGTTGTTCGTTGAAAGCAAGTGAACGGTCGGTGAACCATCCTGTATATCATCAAGGGCTCCTTAATCGTAATACTGGATCCAAGATCTAATTACGAAGGTAAAAAGCAAAATAAGAAAAGGGGGAACGTCTCAAAGATAAGAGAGAAAGAAAAATAAATAAATAAAGAAAAAAAGAAGAAATATAAGAAAAAGAAAATTAGCCAAACGTTAGAAAAAATAATTACATGCTCTTTTGAGGCTTTTGAGAAAAGAAAAAATTAATAAAAAATAAAAATAAAATAAAATAAAGGAGAGCTCTCGTTTGCAGAATCGCGCCCTATGTCTCTCTTAGATCTTGATGGCGCTGCGATCGCGGCGGGAAAAATTCGAACGCGAGTTTCGGGCGTCGTTCGGAGGACTGAATGAAACATTTTTGTAGATGATATAATATATATATAAATATATACATAAATAGTGTAGGTAGTTAATATTTGAATCTCGTCATAAAAAGAAGTATCGATTTTTGTAAATATAAACTCGTTATATAAGAGAGAGGGAGAATTCTTATTATAAATATATATATGAAATAGAAACTGCGTGCGTAAATTTACGTGCATTTATAAAAAGGGATTGGTGTACGCACAAATCTCGTTCTAGAAAATACGATATTAACATAAAATTTAGTCAATTATGAAATTACACGATTGAAAGAAAGGGTAAAGGAAAGAAAGAAAAGAAAAAAGAAGAAGAAACAGAACAACAGAAGACAATTTTATGAGATTATATATAAATATATACCATTTTTTAAAACAGTTGTCACCAATTACAGGAATACGCGATATGTCTCGAGTATTTCTGATAATTTAAAATGAACAAATAAACAACAAAAGAACAAAAAAAGGGGGGAAAATAATAACAATTAAAAAAAAAATAGAAAAATAAATAAATTAAAAATAAGAACAATAAGTTAATGCGTAATCCGATAGACATGCAGCAGCAGCAGCAACAGCAACGGCAGCAGCAGCAGCATAATCGCGTTTGCGGTCAAAGTGCTTCATTTTTTGACAATTATTTTGCGAATCCCGTTGTCGGATATATTTAGTAGCCGTGTGTAAATACATACATACTTTACATACATACATAAAATACATAAATACATACATAGATCTCTAATGTAATCGTCTGCACACGCTCGCATAAATGCGCGTTAATTAAAAAAAAAAAAAAAAACCCTCGCTTTTCTTATTATGGTCCGTTCGTTCTTACGTGGATTGTCCCGATCGATCCGACTTAAACTTTAATTAATTAATTCATTAATTATACAACAATGAAAAGACAATGGTAGTCTTATAGTAGACGATAGTCAAAGAGAGAAAAAAAATAAAATAATAATAATAATAATAATAATAATAATAATACTAATACTAATAATAATAATTATAATAATAATAATAAAATAATAATAATAATTATAATTATATCCAAGTTGGACGATCGGTAAATCGTCTTTCTCATAGCATTATTTCGTTTTTTGGTAAGAATATTTCTTCTCGTGCATGCACGTATGTAAGCACCCACCCATACACGCGCGACTGACAAGATGGATATACACATACATACTTACATATATATAAACAGACACACACAATAATCATACATACTTACATATACACCCCATAAGAAGGAAAATACATTTCGTTCTTTACTCACACGTTTAAATCGTGTAATATCTATGATATTCATTGATACGTGCCGAACACTTAACACCCGTCAAAACCGTAATTAACGTTACGGTACTACGTATTTGTTGTATAAAGTGAATGTAATCAGTCGGTTAACGGAAGCTTTTTCACCAATAAAAATCAGTTAAACATAATGCTATAGTTTGTTTTTCTTCATTCACCCTATTTTCCTGTTCTTTGTGTAATGATTATTACATAATAAGTACATGTTAACATGTATAGTAAAATAATCAAGTACATGAAGGATCTTGTTAGATGACTGATTGTATTAAATAATTATATTACAAGAGCAGTTGCAGGATTATATGATAACTTACATAATTAATATAAATGCAACTTATATAATAATATTTACATACAAGTACGTTTACGCTTGTTACATAACAAATGTAAATGTACCTAATGTTTAGAGTTTAAAGTGCAGAGATTTTTTTCTAAATGGATAATGATACTAAATTAACTAAAATTGTTTATTTTCTTTCAACGTACGCAGGGTCTTAAAAAGTATGATAAAATGTGCAATTGTGTAACCAAGAAGAGCACCTATTACACAAGGAATAGGCCATACTTGCCATGGTCTATCCCAATCTAATGGAATTACAATAGCACCTAACCATGAACCTAAAAGAGTAGTTTTCACAACTATTTTAGCAGCATCTATTAGTTCATTGTGCTTTATTATTTCTGTTCCTGTTAAAATGCTGACCGCTGTATCTACTCCTAAATGTAAACTAGCAGGAACAAATGTTAAGCACGTTAATATTATAGTGAGCATGGTTGTTTCCTCGTGTTGACTAAAAATTGGTGCACCAAATATAACAATGATAAAATAATAAATAATAGATAATATAATACTTATGATAACAAATTTAAAACCTTCCTTGATATATTTGGTCCAAGATTTTTTAGCTTTCGAAGTCTTAGTTTCTATCTTGGTGATTAGTATCGGTTCTGTTTGTAACAAAGAGAACATTACTTTAATCACCTCTGCAAACATCAATATCAATAATGTGGGAATAAACTTGTAAGAGCCAACATTATATAAATTGCCACTTGTTTGTAATAAAGTTAATATTCCTGGAAAGTAAATGCAAGTGAATGACGAATAAACGAACAACACTTTTTGCGCTGCTTTTATTCCACCGATCATATTTCTATTTTTATAGTCTGTAACATAGAGATAACCAATATTTAAAAATATATAAAACGATAAACAAAAAAATATATATATATATACATGTGTATTTTTGAAAATGACATTAATTTGAGGTTAGTTAACATGTGACTTACCACCGAGATGCATTTGTTACCTTTTATAAATCCACATATACATAAATTATTAAAAAAATACGTATTATTTATTTCAATAAGGTGCACTTAATTAGATATAATTTTAACAAAGTGGCAATTTTACTGAAAATATTTAATAGTATTTGAGCGTGCGGTTGGCAACATTTTGACGTGTTAGTTTCGAAAGCAAACAGTTATTAGTGTCAGCTGTTATAAGAGTGTAGTGTGCATTGGGAAAAGGAAGAGACAACAATTTCATACTATTGCTTAATACAAATTATTTGTTCTTATTTTAAATAAATTATCATGGGTAAAAATAAACAATCGCAGAGAACTAAAAATAATGCAAGGGTACGTATTAATTATTATTTAAAATTAAGACTTTCTTTATATTAACCTCAAATTTTTAAGACATTCTATAAGTCAATGTCTGATTTTATAACCAATATACAAGATTGTAGCACTTTTTGATAAAATATGATGAAATATTAATAACACAATATGTATTTGCTGTTTTTTTGTTGTTTCAAATGTCTTTATTATTATTCTCACTTTGTAGCCATCAAATAGTAGTAGAAGTGCAGAGCTTCTGGGAACTCCAATGCCCAAATTTGTTGGGTTTTCAGCTGTCAAGGATGGTGGCTATGTTCCTGTGCTTCCTGGATTAACTCTTTGTAATTTAAATGATATTGAAATGCATAATGTCAATTCTGATTTTCAAATTGTCTTAAAAAAAATGAATAAGAAGGATGCAACTACAAAATACAAGGTGAAAGTTTGTTTTATATTACTGTCAAGTAATATTTGCCTTATCTATTTAACATATGAATGTATTTTTGTAGGGTTTGCAAGAATTTGCAACTATGTGTCAAACAGCAGAATTATCAGCAGTCGAAGGAATGTTACCTTTTTGGCCAAGATTATATAGTGTTTTAGCTATCGATATTGAACATAAAGTAAGAGAAGCTGCACAAATAGCTCATGCTGCTGTAGTTAAACGAGTCGGTAAAGGTATTGCAATGTATTTGAAACAAGTCGCTGGTCCTTGGTTTACTTCTCAATATGACACTTATCCACCCGCTGCATCGGCTGCGGCTAATTCATTTAATGTGAGTCATATATTTTTTTTTATTTAAGTTTTTATTTTTAAAATATAATTATTTAATAATTTCTTTTCGCATGTTTAGGAAACTTTCCCGCAAAATAAAATAGTGGACGTAATAATCCATTGTCAACAAGAAATATTATCATATATTTGTGATAATATTATAACCCAAACACCGCAGTCATTGTCTATACATAAGTACGTTTCATTATTTTATAAATATGATGTCTAATTGCATTATGCATGTTTCTTTGATATTTTTATTATATCTCTTTCTTCTCTTTTTTTTCTTAAGAACCTTAAGCGCCGAAGAAATGGAAACAAAGTATCAAAAAGTATTGGTGGCAAGTTTACACAGTTACAGCTATTATTTTAAAAAAGTACCCATTCAAGAAGTAGAGAAAACTAAAGAAATTCATCAGAAAATTATAAGCAATGGTAAATTTTGGAAATTAACCAAGCACGATGCTATTCCTATAAGAACAGCAGTTTTTACTGCGTTAACGTCAATAATAGAAAATGCTGATTTTTTAATACAAAATGAAAAGAAAAGAACGGTAACAGCCATTATGAACAGTTTGGATGAAACGGAACCTGCGCTTTCTTCGGCAATCTGGGAGTCTTTGCTTATTGCTATTAATAAAATACAAGTAAATGATTTAAACTACAATTTCTGTTACATTACATAAAATTATGAATTGTTAAAATATAAATTTTTATTTTTTTTAGGATTGGTATATAGTAGTTAGTATCGAGAAGTTAGTGTTGCCAAAATTATGGCGAATTTTACGTGGTGGTGGACAATGTTGTGCGAGTGTCGTTTATCCTAATTTATTGCCTTTCCTTAGTCAATTTCCAAAATTAAATATTGATAATACGACTTTGTACACGAATTTCTTTGAGAATATGCGACAAGGGTATTTATTCGATTTCACTTAAACTGTATGTTGTCAATTATGCAACAATTTTGATGATGTATACATTTTTCAGTTTTTCGGCTAAGAGCGTCCAACTTAGTCGTTCCGAAATGTTTGCAGTAACGGTTTCTTTTATAGAGTGTTTACGATATGCAATTTTATTGAATGTCAATGAGGTTCCTTTGTGTGAGAAGCTTTTGAAAGAACAGGTAAATAACAAGACTTAGAATATATTATTTTATATACTATTATAGATATTAATTTAAACAAATCTTTTTGAATATTGCAGCTAATTCCTATAATAGAAATGTGTTTAGTAGAAAATGTAGTAATGAAACAAATTTTATTTTGTGAAGTTATCCAATTGTTGAAATATTGGAGTAAAAATCGTTGCAACGAAGAATATAAATCATACCCACTTTTAATAAACAAATTTTGGGCAGAACTTAAACAATTATATGAAAAGCTCATAAATATGATGCAAACTTCCACTTCAACATCTATCGTACATATAAGTAATTCTCTAATAGAACTATTACTTAACTTAAAAAATCCCCCAAATAGAAGACGACAAAATTTAAAAGTAAACTTTGCTGAATCTAATCAGCTTACCGAAACTAAATGTCAAATAGAAAAAGTAGAAGTAGAAGTGGACAAAGTTTTTCAGGGAGAACTTTTTAATTTTGTTAATGAATTTTGCGTAACATGTTTTGATAAAATTAATAGAGAGCACTTCATGGAATATATCGAATATCTTGACAGAATAATCACACATTTTGAATGTCAAGAACTTTTTATAGCTCTTACAAAATCATTAAAACCGAACATAAGTTTCTTTGAATTTTATAACGAAACTTTGAAAAATTGGTTAACGCAGGCATCGAACAAAGAGAAATATGTAGTAGAAATAATTTTCAAACTTGTTAAATACATGGATGATATGGATAAGGATAAAGTTTTAAGTTCATTAACTGAAGTAAGATTATTATATTTTATATTTCTTTTTGGTTATTGAAAATATAATATACACATATATGTAATTATTATTTTCATTTTTAGCTTGAGAATGTCACTATAGTTCGAAGTATTACAGAGTGTATTTTATCGAGATTTAATAGAAATGATGTTACGGCAAAAAAATGGTGTTCACAATCTAACGTAACAAGTCTACTTATAGATGTAGCCATGGAAATAGCTTCTGATAATTATTGTATTGATTTAGAAAGAAATAAAAATTTGATTCTATTGGCTTTTGATAGATCTAAGGATTGTGGTATGTTTCATACTTTTAATATCTGTCTCGGTCTTTTTTTTTACATTTGTATTATGTATAATATTGATTTGTTTTTAGATCTTTTAATAAATGAAGATACAGCTAATCAAATAATAAAAATCCTATGCGATTCAATATATAAAAGAAACTACGTTTCCTTGGAAAAACTTGGAAAATTAATTTTACAACTTGTGCCGTTTCTGTGGATTTACAAGAGACCGATATCTGGTTCTCTACAATTATTAAAAGCACTTTTTGTACTATGTATTCAATATCCCAGTTATTATGATATAATTTCTATCGATGATATGCGAAAAGTTTGGAAAAATAGTCTTGTAGCATGCAGACGAAGTCTTAATCATTTAGGGTTTACCATGTTTACTAAACATATTGCCATTATTACTTGGAACGAAATATACAAAACGTAAGAGTTTTATTTTTATTTTTGATATATTTAAAAGACCTATAAGATTTTATTTTTCTTATCATTGTATTTCTTTACAGACACGAAGTAGACGTAAAGGATTCGTTAGTAGATGTAGTAACTGATCTTTTTGAAGTAATAATTTATAATACATTAGTGAATACTATCAGCGTGAATTCGTACGAAAAAGAAGTCATTTCTACATTTTTAACAGAATCAAATATAAGTACATGGATAGCTGAAGTTACTGGAATAGTCATTTATGCAGAAGCAATAACTGGACATTTATATGTATCGAAACCCGAACAAGAGATACGTGCATATCACCATACTACAAAAATTAATTTAACCGATAACGTTTCGGCAGATAACACTGAGAATTGCCTTATATGGGCTTTGTTTGTAACTAAATTATTAAATAATATTTATTTAAGATATGAACAAAATATTATGAATGAATTGAAATATGAAATTAAAACGAAAAATCATACTGAGATGCAAGGATTTACGGAAATATTAATAAATATCCTACATTCTGTTACTTTAGGATATATTTATGTGAATTATTATAAATCTGTTAGTACAATTTATATTTTATATTTTTATACAAAATTATATGATATATATATATATATATATATATATATATATAATTTTTTGAATTTGAAATAATTAACATTTTCGTTTACAGACTAAATGTTACAAAAATGTGGATAAACTTTTGACATCCGTAAAAAATAATTTGAAAAGTTTACAGAAACATATAACTAAAAAGGAACATGAGGAAATTCTTCAGTATATTCAAAAGTAAGTATTATCTTTTTGTACAATGTTTCAAGTTATAAATTAAAATGATTTCTTTTCAGATATAAGTCTGAATATGGAAGTATTTTACCATATATTATTAATGTCTATTTTATGGAATTATGTGAGCAAACAGATCTTTTGGAATATTGTAAAATGTGTAAAAACAATGGTATATTTCCAGAAAAAGATTCATCTAATAAAGAAGCATATTTACAAGCAGTGCAGGTATAATGCTATCTCTTTTGATTTTTTTTTCAATAATTATTGCATAATAAATGAAAAATTCTTTGTTAATATTATTAAATAAATTATTTCAGATTACGTCTCAATATTTAGATCTGGAAGAGATTCAAGTATCAACAGATGATCTTCTAAGTGTGTTAATTGTAGGAAGAAATATACTATCGACTCAAGAAAATTCTTTAGTACACCTACCTATTTTAGAAAGAATTGTTATTGATCAGTCAAAGAATTCAAAATTGTTCCTTCTTGATTGGTTCGTATATTTGATTTACATTTTTATTTATAAAAACTATTCCGCGACTACTTTTAAATAATAATTGGTATTTTTTTATAGCGATGTTAGCGAAGAGTCGTGGGAAAACGTAGCTTTAACTCTAGAAATAATAAGATTTCTTACGGAATTTATTATAAAAAAACAAACGGATTTAACATACGAAAATTGGGATTTTATTCTGATTTCTTTATCATCTTGGCAAGCTTCTGTAAATAAATCTAAACATAATTTCAATGATTTCAAGGTAAATATATTGCATTAAATGCATACTCTTTTTAATATTTTAATATTAAGAATATAATACGTTTATACATTTATACAGGTGATAGCATTAACAGTAGCTGTTAGTCAGCTTTTTTATGAAGTTCAAAGCCTGATGCATAAACACGAAGTAAAACCTTTGAGTGAATTACCACCTGATATTTTAGATGAATGGAAAGCTGTCTTTGCTAAAGACATACATAGAAGTATTCTAAAAACTTGGAAGCTTCATGCTGGTAATTTTGTTTGTTTATCAAATAATTTTACAAAGGTTACAATATGAATTTTATATTAACTAAAATTTACTGTGAAATATTTTTTACAGAATCTTATGTCGAAAAAATGGGAGTTTTAAAACCGATTATTGCTTTAGATTGTTTGGGTAGAACAATAAATTTACTTTATGCTAAAGAACTTTTCAAAAATGATAGTGAGTCTACCGAAAGCAATAATTTAGATGAAACGATAAAATTGTGTCTAAAACTTATTCAGTCTCCAGCACCGTCTATTCAATTGGCTGCGTATCATTGTTTGAAACATGCTATTTCTGAGCTTGTAGAAAACGACAAAACGTCAATGGAAGCGGAATGCTTTCATCCACTTGTTTTGAGTATTAGGAATTTCGAAGAAACACTTTTGAATATTCAATATATCGTTAACACCATGCTTATAGATTTCAAGTTGGTATTCAAAATAATTTACAGATAAATTAATATTATTTATTTGTAATACATTTTTTTTATCGTTTCGTGTTTATTTTATCTCCATTTAGATTATGCGACACTATTAGTTGTACTATTCAGCCTTATACAGATTCTTACACATATACTTTGGGTTACTTATTGCTGTGGGCTATCGTTTTGGATATGTGTGCAAATACACATGGTGATTTACGCTATCAATACGCTGAAATATTAAAGTAAGTTTTACTCTTGTAAATGTTATCATATTAACCATCATATTCGCTCGTAGATTTTACAAATTTAATTATAAATGACTATTTAATGTCTTTAGGAAAGATCTATTTCCATCCTTATTGAATAATATATTCCGATTAATGCCAGTGGAAGTATTGCAGGATAACAAAAACAAAGCTGCAAAATTAGTAGAAATGTTTTCTACCGTACCATCTATGAGTTTTGGAGGTACGTTTATCTACAACTTGTTGGCAATTACTTTATTATTAATTAGTATAATTTTAATTTAGAAAGTTGGACCGAATGGAGATTAGATCATATAGTGTGTTGGTTATATACAAATACTTTGAGGCATTTACCAGTATTAGTGAGACAATGGTGGAGTACAGCTGATAGCAGAGTTAGCGTAGCAGTGGATAGAATAACAATGCATTATGTCAGTCCTATGTTATGTCAAGAAGAACTTCTTAATAACAGGCTAGTCAATGTCGAAAACATGCAAGTAAGAAATATAAAATATGCACTACATTTAACACATGTAACTTATTTAATAGATTGAGAATATTTTCTTGTATTTATTAATATTATAGGTAAAAGTTCATCCAACGGCTAGAGAAGTAGTAGCATTATATCAAATGGATGATACTGAATTAGAACTTAGTATCGTTCTACCACCAAACCATCCATTGGGTCCAGTAACCGTAGAACCAGGACAACATGCAGGAGGTACTGCCAATTGGAGAAATTGTCATATGCAGTTATCAATATTTCTTACTCATCAAGTGAGTATTAGAATTCTATGTATACTTATGTGTATTCAAAATTTATTTTTATACAATTATTTTTGATACAGAATGGTTCAATTTGGGATGGACTGATATCGTGGAAAAAGAATTTGGATAAGAAATTTGCCGGTGTTGAGGAGTGTTATATATGTTTCAGTATCTTTCATATAAGTACTTATCAAATACCAAAATTGTCTTGTCATACTTGTCGCAAGAAATTCCATACACCATGCCTGGTAAGAATTTGGAATATATTTCTTAGTAAAATATTACTATATTATGTATTAAATTATATTCTTTTTATTCTAGTACAAATGGTTTAGTACGAGTCAGAAATCAACATGCCCGATATGTCGAAATGTGTTTTAATCCTAAGGAATAAAGATAATTCTAATCACATAATAAAATGTTATTATTATTAATATTATTGTCATAACAATAATATTATTATTAATATAATAATAATAATAATAATAATAATAATAATAATAATAATAATAATAATAATAATAATAATAATAAAAAAGGCAGGTTAATATAGAATACGTGCAAGAAAGAAATAAATCCATTATGTAATATAATTTATGTGATTTTAGTATTAAATATAAATATATATATATATATACATACATATATGTAACTGGTAACAATTAATGTTTTATTATAACTAATATGTGCAGAATTAAGATGTATGTATAAAAACATTCTATTGTAATACAAAAATCCATTTTTTAAACTAAAAACAAAAAGAAAAGGAAGAATGTAAGTTTTTAGTTTAAAATTGAATAATTCGAAAGTTGCCAATAATTCAAGAAATAATGAAATATATTATTAATACCTGATATATTTACGATTTTTGTTTGAAATAATTCATTGTTTATATCGCAATCCGGCAATGTAAAAGGGTTAGGATTAAATGGATAAGTTTAATTCCTATTTTTGATACTACCGTTATTGGTGGCGCTGTCATCGATTGAACAGTAAGTTTTTAATGGCTGAAAGTTGGTACCATATGTTTTGACATTACTTTAAGATGGCGGTATTTTTCAGTGTTCGTACGTGAAAGAAGTCTCGTGTTTCGGTAGTTTTCGCGTTATCGGTTAACATTTAAAAAATATTGAGGGATGGAGACTAGTGCGAGTACCGGTACTCGTACAACGCGATTTATGATGGAGGGTGTCGGCGCTCGAGTTATTCGTGGACCTGAATGGAAATGGGGTAAACAGGTTGGAACATAGGTTACTTATTATAAATATGTATTTTTCAAATCGTTCAAATAGTTTTTCCACGATTATTTTGACGTCGTTAATATTGTATAGAATTTTTACATTACTCAATTATTTTATACGATAATTTTTGTGTGTAAATTATATTAAAATTTACGAATGCTTTCAACAAGTTTTTAAGGTTATCAGATAGTCAACAATTATTTTCTCTTATACTTTATTATTTGTTATTAATGTATTTTGATCTAAGTAATTGTTAATATTAATCTTATTGTATTGTATTATTTATAAATTATTTTGATATTATTAGAAAATTGAGGAAAAAATTGTATTAAAATAAACGAAGGTTAAGAGTGAGTTTTATTAACAGTGCATTATTGTTTAATAGGATGGAGGAGAAGGACATGTTGGTACAGTTAGAAATTTTGAATCTCCTGAAGAAGTTGTTGTGGTATGGGATAATGGTACAGCAGCAAATTATCGTTGTTCTGGTGCTTTTGATCTACGCATATTAGACTCAGCACCAACAGGTGTCAAGCACGAAGGAACTATGTGTGATACTTGTAGACAACAACCAATCTTTGGTATTAGATGGAAATGTGCTGAATGTGGGAATTATGATTTATGTTCTATTTGTTATCATGGAGATAAACATCATTTGAGGCATAGATTTTATCGCATTGCTACTCCTGGAAGTGAACGCATTTTATTAGAACCAAGACGTAAAACTAAGAAAGTATGTATTATAAATATAATTAATAAAATGTTTATATCAATAAAATATCTATTGAATTTATACTAATACAATAATTTTTGTTATTTACAGATAGCCATTCGAGGTATTTTTCCTGGTGCAAGAGTTGTTCGAGGTGTTGATTGGCAATGGGAAGATCAAGACGGTGGGAATGGACGTAGAGGAAAAGTTAATGAAATACAGGATTGGTCATCGGCCAGTCCTCGTTCAGCAGCTTATGTTATTTGGGATAATGGTGCCAAAAATTTGTATCGTGTTGGATTCGAAGGAATGGTTAGTTTTTATACCATACACATACTGTAATAATAAGTTCTAAATTTTGATTCTGTAATTAATATTTATTTATTATTATATACTTATAAATATTGTTGGTATTTTTTAGGCTGATTTAAAGGTTGTCAGTGATGCTAAGGGACAGACAGTTTATAGAGATCATTTACCATTGCTAGGTGAACAGGGCCCAGGTAGAACTGGACCACATGGTCTACAAATTGGAGATCAGGTACTGAAGATGAATAATCTTTAAACTTATTTTTCAATTTAAATGAATTATTAAATATTGTATTAGATTTATTATATTTTATTATTAACATAATATTTTTCTTTGACAAAGGTTAATGTCGATTTGGAATTGGAGATAGTTCAATCTCTTCAACACGGTCACGGTGGTTGGACTGATGGAATGTTTGAATGTCTTGGTACTACTGGTACCGTTGTCGGAATTGATGAAGATCATGATATTGTTGTATCATATCCAAGTGGTAACAGGTGGACTTTCAATCCAGCTGTAATTACAAAAGTCCAGATACCTGTACCCGTTACAAGTTCTAGTTCAGACAATCAAACGTTTGCTGTGGGTGATTTGGTTCAAATTTGTAATGATTTGGAGAAAATTAAATTGTTACAACGTGGTCATGGGGAATGGGCAGATGCTATGACACCGGTAAGCTAAATGTTCTTTATGTCTTCGCAGATTCGAATATATTTGATAAATCTAATGAATATACTATTATATTATTTTCTTGTTTTTGTAGACATTGGGTAAAATAGGAAGAGTACAACAGATATATCACGATGGAGATTTGAAAGTTGAAGTGTGTAGCACATCATGGACGTACAATCCGCAAGCAGTGACAAAAGTTGCCAGTAGCGATGGCAGCGTTCCAGGAAACAGTAGCGGAGGTAAAGATTTTCGTTGAAATTAAATTCAATTGTACAATAAAATATATTGCTATTGTTGAATTAATTGAAACGTATTTTTTCACTTATAGAACGTTTATCGGCACTGTTGAAGAAATTATTCGAAACTCACGTTTCGGGTGACGTTAATGAAGAATTAGTTAAAACTGCTGCGAACGGCGACGGTAGTAAATGCGAGGAATGTTTGAAGAGACCGGAGGCCGACGTCAATGGCGTATTTTCCGGTCATACGGCTTTGCAAGCTGCGAGTCAAAATGGTCATTTGGAAGTTATTAAAATTCTCCTCCGTTACAAGGCTGACGTTGAAATTGAGGTAAATAAAAATTTACAGCAGACATATGAAAAATACTTTTTCTTACGATATTTGATGATTTAATAAAAAAGAAAAAAAAACCCAGAAAAGATAAAGAAATTAAATGATAAATTAAAGTTTTCGTTTAATAAAACAAATAGGACAAGGACGGTGACAGAGCCGTGCATCATGCTGCGTTCGGTGATGAGCCAGGAGTAATGGCTTTGCTGGCAGGTGCTGGTGCTGATCTCAATGCTCGTAACAAAAGGCGTCAGACTGCCCTTCATATCGCGGTGAATAAAGGCCACGCCGGAGTGGTTAGAACTTTGCTGGAGTTAGGATGTCATCCGAGTTTGCAGGTAAGTTTTATGTCGATAATATATAACAACGTGTTGTGTGTTTCTACTTCCTATTTATATTAACGAGTATGTTGTCGCCTGAAGACCTACAATGGATATTATTCAAATGAGGACAGAAAACGAATTCATAAAACGAGATATTGACTGTCTACTTTGACTGTCAAATCTCTATAAATGTATATATTTATATATACATGTGCGCTTATGTAGTAGAATAGAAATTAAAAAAGAAAAAAGAAAAGAATAATAGAAGAAGAGTTAAAAAAAAAAAAAGAAATTAAATCGATCATAGCGTTTTATATCATTGGGCCGATGAAACAGGGAAGGGTACGGGAATATATTAATTTACTCGATTGCCATTTCAATTTGAAATTTATGAACGATATAAATGAAATTTTTTCGTGCATCGAAATACGAAGGAAACTGTTCGGTGAGTGAAACGTTATTTGAGCTATCGATCGTATACATGTGTATATATACACACATATATACAGGTGTATCATATTATATTATATTGTATTATATTATATGTATAATATATATGCTGTCCCAACACAAGTTCGTTTAATATGAAATTATATGAGAAAATGTTCTCTCTCGAGTATAAAGAGAGAAAGAGAAAGAGAAAGGGTGAGAGTTAATTCGAGAAATATCGATGCTGTTCAATGGAAATCGATATAAGAAATTTTAGATTTATAGTTTAGATGCGTTGCAAGTTTTACTTTTCCTTTTTCACTTTTTCTTTTTCTCTTCGTTGGGAAGAGAAGCAGAGGTTGGAGGGGGTGGAACATGGAAAGAGCTGGCAAAAGAGAGAGAGAGGGAGAGAGAGAGAGAGAGAGTTTCAAAGTTTCATCAAAAAGGTCGTTGAGGATAACACGCACATAGTTTTTCGAAGAGAAAGCTCGCTTTTGAGCTTTTATTCTACACTCGAAATTTTCACGCTCAAAATCTCGTGAAATATAACTCGATATCGAGAATGGGAACTGGGAAGTAGTGAAAGAAGTAGTGGAAGTTGGGAGGGGGTGAGAGAGTGGATGGGTGGTAGTCCTTGTTTATTTTATTCTTGAATCGTCTAGACGTGATTTATTTCTTGGTATTCTACTTTTCCATGATTTATATCTACGTGAAAGCTCGCGAACTAACGTTTTCTGTTCTTCTTTCAATCGCTTTTCTTGTTCTTTCTTTCTTTAGTTATTTTTCTTTCTCTCTCTCTCTCTCTCTGTCTCTCTCTTTCTGATTTTCTTTGCTAGTAGTATGAAATTCACAAGAGTGAATTCTTCGTGGACGGGTAGATCCATCAGGATCCTCCTAATCTGCCTAGAGTCAATCTTCCCGTCATTTCTTTGCGTTATCACGAGCGTTCGTGACGTTACCTTGCTCGATCGGATTTTCTTCGTGCATCGTTCATAGATTATTCTCAAAGAATGATTATTTTTGTTTCTTTTTCATATAAGAAAGTTTTCAGAAAAATATTTTTACGGGGAATTTTTTTTTTTTTTTTAATATTTTCTGAAGTAGCACAAATGTCAGGTTTAAATGTTCCGTTTAATAGTTTTGATATATTACTGATAAATAAAAAACATATATACAGTTATAATATGTTCGTGTTCTCTATTTTAATTAAAAAGAAATAAATGATTTACAAACCGTGGAATGAGATACGAATAGAAGAAAACGATAAAAGAGAGAAAAAACACAATATAATAAATATATATATATAAGTATTAGAAAGAATGAAGAAAGAAAACAAGCTTTCTCGAAAATAGCTTATTCGCAAAATCGAAGGGAAAATAGGATCGTAGCGTCTAAATCGGCAAGGAGAAAAATAAATTTGCGGAAAGTAAGATGGGGGAAGAAAGAAAGAAGGGGTAGTTTAGGTGGATAAAACGAAACACATAGAGAGAGGGAAAAGGTGCGATTTTGGGGCATGAGAAAAAGCTCGAAGGAAAAAAGAGATAGAGATTCCAATCAGGATATATCGACGCATATCTTACCAGGTAACTTCGATATTCCACTATAAAAGCTCGCACCACTTTTCTTTCTATTTTCTTATTTTACGTTTCCACATATTTGCGACTATTTTTTTGAATTTTTTTTCTTTTCTTTTTTTTTTTTTTACATTTTATCAAACATTTTTTTCGTTCGCATTGTCGGATTATTTTTTTTTCTTTTCCTTCCGTTTGAATTTTATTTCATTTTACGGTCAATATTATTATAATCAAACCTTTTATTATGATTTTTATTCGAGATAAATTCATGGCGTTGAAAAATTTATCGAATACATTTTTCCGTTCAATGAATGTTAAATATATTTCTTTTTTTGTTTAAGTCTAATCAATTTCTTAGAGAGAAATATAAAAGCTACACGGTGAAGAAATTATCTTTAGAGATGAAAAAAACCTTATTTTTTTTCCTCCCTCTATCTCTAATTTTCTTTATCATGCGGTAACTTGCAAGATTGTTTTTTTCCGTGTTTTTGCAAGACGGCAAAAGGTAACAAAAAATAAAAAAACATAGCTGCATAAAATAATGTTATCCCCCTAACTTTGTTTCTTTGTGATCTTTTCTTTCTTCTTCATAATAATACCGTAGTATTTTTTTTTTCATAATAAAAATAAATTCAAATAAATTTTATATCACTTAACGACGACGCCTAGCCACGTCGAATTATTGTTTTCCATTAGATTACTAAAGTTAAGTAATATAGGTACGGTTAGTAAAATAGATAGGATGACCCGTTTGGAGTAACCAAAAAGAAAAACCGTGTGTTGTTGACTTCAGAGAGAGAGAGAGAGAGAGAAAGAGAGAGAGAGAGAGAGAGAGAAAGAGAGAGAGAGAGAGAGAGANAGAGAGAGAGAGAGAGAGAGAGAGAGAGAGAGAGAGAGAGAGAGAGAGAGGAGATAATAAAAAGATGCAATTTCCTTTAATAGTACTGGATAGGTGTGAGAAGGTATTCTTATTCTATAAGTAAACTTAAGACAGTCATATTGATATCCAATGATTTAACAATAAGTAAGGGTCAAAGTATGATGTTAGGAATAGGTGGAATAGAAAGTGGTAAGAAGAGAAGGAAGAGATGAAACCGAAAAGGTTTAGCTACACATAATAGGAGGATGAGGGGAGAGGATGGAAGGTTACCTACCTGTCTGCCTGCCAGGATACAAGTGCAAGCAAGCAAGCAAGCAAGTAAGCAAGCAAGCAAGCAAGCAGGCAGGCAGGCAGGAACGCAGGCAGGTACACGAACGCGAATTAGCGTTAATTCACCTTCGTTAGGCGGGTATCTCCTCATTTGCAGGAGACTTAATTAATTTGGTTATCTGAGCGCTCTCGAGAAAGCTCCAAATTCCAGCTGCGTTTACGAGTGTCGCGCGGGCTTGTGTTTGAGAATACGCATTGCGCATAATCAAGCTGGAACTTCGACTCCGGGCCAAAGAGAAAGAGAAAGATAGAGATGGAGATAGAGATAGGGATAAAGATAAAGATAGAGAGAGAGTGCATGGGAATTGTATATACTTCGCGAGAGAACCGACACATAACGATTCCAACATCTCTCCTATTTTCCTTCGAAACAATTCGAAGCCGAAGACAACCGGCGGGAGCATTTTCCGTGATAAACAACCCTTACGTGCTCGGCATCCTATTTAGTTGTTTGTATTCGAGATGAGCCTTATTTTCATCTCTATTTTTTCTTTTTTTTCTTTCTTTTTTTTTTACTATTTTATTTTTTCGATAAGGCTGCAGTTTCATTCATTTCAATGTTTATGGATAATTAGGAAGAGAGAGAGAGAGAGAAAAAAAGAAAAAATGTTTGTGCACTTGTATAATGGCTGATAATAAGTAAGAAAAAGATAGCATAATTATTTGCTAATTTAAATCATCGAAATTAATTGTAATATTATTTTTGTTAACAAATTTTTATTGCCTTTGAAAGAATTATAATTTTTAATTATTTAATACGTTAAGCTTCAATTTATTTCAGTTATAACGAGTACGCGAATGAGTTAAGAAAAAATACAGTAATATTATGTCCCATGAACAATAATTTCTCGTAATCTTCTAAAAGATAATTCATTTTGTTCATTCGATTTATCTCGAAGAAAAAGTTGGGACAATCTTCGAAATCTTCGAATGTTCCTTTTGTAACCCTTACCAAAGCCAAAAACTAATTTTTACGATAGAACACAAGAAAATAAGCACGATAAGCTCTCTTTATTGTCCTTGTGTATAAATGTATGTCCACATGTGTGTGTGTGTGCGTGTATGTGTGTGTGCGTGTCCTGTGTGTCTCTTTACGAGAAATAGAAAAGAACATTTTTGTGATCACGTTTGGTCCGACGAAAAATACTCTTTTTCTTCTTCTCTTTTCTTTCTTTTTTACTTGCTTCGTAAACGTGCACGAAATTCCAAATGAAAAGATTCGTGCACGCTTGCACGCGAGCGCGCGCGCGCGCGCGTTGTTTCACCATCAGAAACAAATACTAAGAAGAACGTTGTTATGTTGGGTGGTCCAGCAAAGAATTCTTGCCATCTTCCTAGATCGTTTCGTTTAGTTTTTTTCTTTTTTTTTTTTGTTGCCGAAGGATAGGGCTAATCGAAATACCGTTTCGTACGTGAGTTCGGCACCATGACGGTTTTCGGCTTCGATATTTTCTTTCTCTCTCTTTTTTTTTTGTTTTTTATTTTTTTCTCTCTTTCCAAGCATTGGAGACGAAAAACCGAATGACTTTTCCCGATAGGAAACTTTTTGAATGCTCTTTGTTCTTCTCACAGACTTTTCAGCTTCCTTCCTCTCATTCTTTTCTCCCTTTTTCCTTCTCTCTTCTATTTTTTGTTTGTTCATTCTTTCCTCGTTCTTCTTTACGTATTCCCTGGACGAGTTTCGATTTTTAAGACAAGGAGATTCCACGGAAAAATACAATGTGTTAGAATCCCTTTGGGATTACTTTTTTTCAATTTATTGTCTCTCTTTGGTTTTCCCTTTTTTTTTTCTATTTCTTCCC